AAGACTCTGGAATCAAAATGATCATCAGATCTAGCATTTACAGTCCTGGACATGGTATCCAAACATAAATGCTAATGCATCCATACAATGTTACGCCAATAATGGGATTAACTTGTTCATTTTAAATAAGTTAGTTTGAAAAAAAGACAAATCTTACAACATTGTTAATATTCATTAATGTCAACAATGCATTCAAGATTTCTGAAGAAGGGTCTAGGCCCGAAACGTCAGCTTTCCTGCTCTTCTGATGCTGCTTGGCCTGCTGTGTTCATCCAGCTCTGCACCTTGTTATCTCAGATTCTCCAGCATCTGCAGTTCCTACTATCTCTGATACATTCAAGACCATTGGTTTGATTGCTACTTTACTTGCTCTGTTTATTCATTTTTAAATTTGTTGTTGCTCCAATATTCTCTGAATAAATGAAATGTAAGTGGGCATTTCACACTCTGGACACCACATGGCTTCTATTTGTGATCTGGGAATGGGAACTTTTCAAGTTATTTTCTGTAATGCCCTCACAATGTAAGGATTTAGTTGCAGCAGCAAAGTGGCATTTCCTACTGTATCTTGATTTTTGTTCCTTTCACATAATGCTTCAGCCCAAAAGCATCATAAAGGTGAGTCACATAGCAAGTAGGAACAGAGCAAGTCAGTGATCTGAAAAAAAAAATCTATAATGGTTGTGCAATGCTCTGGTAAACAATATTCTGCTGGCACATAATGTTACCAACAAGTGATGCCAAATGACAACCACTCAAACAGAAATTCTAAAATTTTCCATGTTCACCTCTCCTCAATGATCAGATTAATTTATACTAAAAGGTGCTTTTAAAAGCACTCAATCAATTTAAGACCACCTGTAGACTCTAATGCATTGAGTCATTCAATAAGGACATTTAAGGTTGTTAATCACCTCAGGAGGTCATTGAAATATAGTTCATATAATATGAAAGTAAATTAAATAATATCACATTGGTAATAACAACCTTTACTAATATGTAGAAATCTACAGAAGATGTATTTTTATTCTGCAATATTGTCTATCTTTGTCCTACAGTACCTCTCCAACCAAGATCTTTTCCACTTTTACGTTTAATTCTTTCACTGTTTCTGCTCATTTGTTTCCACTCTACACTGCACAAAGTCCCAGCTCATGCAAAGCAGAATTCCATGTTGCTGCCATCTATTTCTGCAACTTTATCTATCACCTTTTGATCTTCTGACTTCAGATGTCTATGAATCACTTTGTTTTATGTTCAGACTCAGACTTCAACTGCCCTGCAGTCTGAACCATAAATTGCTCCACCCCCAAAAAAAAACATTCCTAACCTTCTCAAAACCTTCTGCTTTTTCCCCGGTTTAAGCCAACTTTCCAGAGTATTTCACACTTATTGCTTGGGGCCTTGCTTTGGCTCTGTGAAGTGCATCAGAATGATTGCTATTTTAAATGTTCAATGTAAACACATGAAATTCTTTGAAATTGTGGTATCAATACAGTATTCGATAACCAGGCACAAAATATGATTTCATGCCCATAATGATTCATTTGTAATATTATAAATTAATATTACCTGTCCCTGTTACAATCAGACCTAATATCCAGCTTTCTGTGATATGCTATATATATATGTATATCAGTTATGGCTCAAGTGGGAAACACACTCACCTTGATGCAGGAGGTTGTGCATTTACCAGATTTTCTGAGAGTTGAGCACCTAATCAAGGTTGACTGGTGGTTAGGCAGTGCAGCACTGAAGGTGCAATCTTTTCGATGAGATATCTTTTGGATGAGATATCTTTTGGATCTGCTCCTTAGGCAGATGTAAAAGAATCCATGGCATAATTTGATAGAAACAGCAGGGTTGATCTCTCTGTTGTACAGGCAAATCTTTATACCTGGATCAACATCACAGAGCAGATTATCTGGTCATTATCTCATTATTAGTTGTGTCAGAGATAGTAGGAACTGCCGATGCTGGAGAATCTGAGATAACAAGGTGTAGAGCTGGATGATCACAGCAGGCCAAGCAGCATCAGAGGAGCAGGAAGGCTGACGTTTCGGGCCTAGACCCTTCTTCAGAAAAGTTCATGTGTTCAGCTCTACACCTTGTTATCTCATTAGTTGTGTCACATTGCTTTGTGCAAACTGGCTACCAGACTACCTACATCACAACAGTGATTGAACATCAAAAGTACTTCATTGAGTGTGGAGTTCTTTGGGACATTCGGAAATTGTGAAAAGTGCTATATAAATGCAAGCTCTGATTTTTCTGTATGTGTAATAAGTAGTTGCTCCTTCATTCCCTGTTTACACATAAGAACATAAGAATTAGAAACAGGAGTAAGCCATTCAGCCCCTCAAGTCTCCCCAAGCCATTCAACAAGATCATGGATGATCTCCTGCAGGTTTCAAATCCTCTTTTGTGCAGCTGATAATAGCCCTCAACTCCCTGATATTTCAAAAATCTATCAACCTCCATTTTAAATACCTTATGATCAATCCTCCACAAGTCTCTGGAGCAAAGAATTCCAGAAAACAATTTATGCCTTGAATGAATATAAGGGACACACAACAGGATTTTCCAATTGATTAAAATATGAAGTACCCAGAAGACAGGGATATTCATTGCTAATTTTATTTTTCAGAAAAGCATTGATTTTTGCAGTGTATTTTATTAATACTACAAATTTTATTCTATGGGAGCTTAATCAGTTTTTCATGAGTATGTGGCAGCTTTGTCAATGTTTGGTAAGTTTAACATGGAAGCTGTCTGTTACGGATATGATGAAGTGGGGGACACATTTTGCATTTAACTTCAAAAATGGACATGATGTCAAAGATTGCATAAGCGGAACTGACAAAAAGTATCGCAAAACGAGATGGTTTCAAAAAGATTGCCCACTGGCATTATGTAGCTATTTTGTCACATGAATATTGTACAATTGAGACAGAGCAAGTGCTTGTTTCAGAAATAACTCTCAGAAGTAAACTACTGATACTCAGTCCAAACATCTGGTATGAACTGGTCTATTGTTAAAATGTCCTCCCTTGAAATTTTATCCATACAGGCACAAATCAATATGTACTGCAGTCATCTCTGTCACCTGCTTAATTCTCTTCACCCTTACTGAAGCAAATTTGAGTCTATGTTTGTTGCCATTGTTCCATTTCTATAAGCTAATCTCTCCAAATGCAGTGAATAGATGATACTAGTATTATGAGTTTCATGTTTCCACCCACTCTTCGCAGAAATATAATTGAACTTAAACTTTTTGATAAACTGCCTTTAGGAGAATTAATTTTCAAACGCATGATTAACTATTTTGGGAGTGGCTAATTTGCCAAATTAAGATATTAAAATATTAAAACAGTGACTCAAACGCAGGCTCTAAAATCAAAATAGAAAATGCTATCAGTGCTGTACGGATCAGATGGTATCCACGTAGAGAGAGAGTCAGAAGTCACACGACATGGGGAGGGGTTATAGTCCGACGTGCTTACCTAAAATCACAAGCTTTCGAGGACCCGCTCCTTGGTCCCTTCGTTCCACCAGTCCCCGGTGTCGTGTGACTTCTGACACTGTCCAACCCAGTCCAGCACCAGCATCTCCACGTCATATCTGTGTAGACAGCAGTCAAGTTGATATTTCAAGTACATCTTCAGCCATTGTCTGCATCTGTGCTAACAAAAGCTAATTAATTTATATTTACGTCACACATTTCACATAACCAGGCGGTCTTCCAGTGTTTCACAGATTTTGAAGTGTGGCCATTGTAGCTTTGTAGGAAAATATGATAGCAAATTTTCGTACAGCATGATCTCACAAACAGCAATTAAATAAATGACCAGTTAATATGTTTGTAAATGTGCGTTGAGAGTTACATGTTGTGCAGGACACTGGGAGTACTCCTTCACTTGATGTCCTGATGGGACATCCTACGAGTCAATGATCATCTGAAACAGCAAGTGCGTTACCACTGCGTTTAGTTGCTGCAGTATGTTGCTTTGAGTTTACTGTAACGTTATCCGTGGATATTTCCATGTTCTTCCTAGCAAACGTTCTGTTGAATTCTCTCTTTGTCTGCTGGGTTTCTTCCGCGTACTTGGGTTTCCTCCCACAGTCCAAAGATGTGCAGGTTAGGTGGATTGGCCATGGATGCAATGCAGGGTTACAGGAAAAGGGTCCGGGTGGGATGCTCTTCAGAGGGTTAGTGGGGACTCGATGGGCCGAACAGCCTGCTTCCACACTGTTAGGATTCTATGATCCTTTGAATGGCTTTATAAATTGTAAAAAAAAGTGCAGTTTATACTTTTTTTAAAAGAAAGGTTAACAACATCTGCAAACTCCCGAGACTTGAGCGCAGTAGTTTGGACTGGCACACCAGTGCAGTATTGAGGAATACAACAGTGGCAAATTATTGTTAATCTTTATCTCTATTAGATAAACGGTATATCGTGTTATATTAGAGTCCACCTTCTCAGGCAGATGTAATCGATTCCAATACACTATTTCAAAGAAGGGGAAGGGAGTTTATCCCTTGTGTCCAGATCAATATTCATCCATCACACAATATTCCAAAAGACAAATTAACTGTTTATTATCATATTGCTGGTTGCGGAGCTTCCTGTGTTCAAACTGGCTACTTCCATTCCTCAATAAGGACAGGGTCTACACTTCAGAAGGACTTAATTGTCTGTAACACACACTAGAAGAGCGTGTTTTTAATTTTTGTTGATGACTGCCATTAGATTGCTTTACCTGTCTGGTTTAAAATGAGACCTCCAGTGTTATTTCACCGTATTTTTCGAGCAAAAGGTGGAAAATGTTTCCTCTTTAAATGGGCACATCCTCGCTTTAAGAAACTGTGTGTTTCTGAGGGAGAGAGCAGCCGTTCGTTGCCTGCAGGCTGTCTGTGTTGGACTTTTTTTTGTGAATGAAGCTTATTATTTACGCATGCTTCGCTCGTTCATTCATGATCTCTGCACCCCCACTCTCAGTCTCCGCAGGCTGATCGAGCTTGATGTCAAATCCAGTCTAAATGCTCATAAACGGTTAACAAGGGAAACACAGGATGGATGGCTACTTAGATCAGCAAGTGCCTTACACATTTTCAAATGTGAGTAGTGATTTCTGAGAAATTTAGTGCTGCATTGACTTTTCGAAACAGTGGAGTTAAGAAAGTTGAATTGTTTTCCTTTTTAAAAATGAAGTGTTTTCCTTTTTCGATCTTTATTGAATGGATGTGCGTACGCGCGCGCGTGCATCTGGGGTGGCGGGGAGGTTTAAGTTTGTAAAATCATCGCGAAATGACAGAAAGTTGTAAATTGATGGAACCAAAGAGTCTGTAACTAACCCGAGTCCACGGGCGCTGACCGGGGGAAGGGGGAGTAGGAAGGATGTTAACTATTTAAATCCGCGAATTGTATCAGTAAATTCTGGATGCCAGGTAAAGGCTCGCAGAGCGGGTAAAAACACTTGGTGTTTGTTTTAATCTGCAGAAAGTGCACGACGCTGGGAGCTTCGGGCGGGCAGTGATTGCCAGAAAGAAAAGATATATTCCCAAAGAACTAACTCAGGATTCAGAAGGTAACAACTATCTCCGAGAGGCTGCCTTTTGGCATGGATACTGAGTTTTGTTCCTTCCAATAACAAATTTGGGAGAAGGTGCACTTTAGAGCATGATCCTGCTAATTCTTTATTTAAATTTTTTTCTTCTGTTCCAGATCTCTTCCAGGATTTAAGCCAACTTCAAGAAACTTGGCTTGCAGAAGGTGAGTTTAAAATAATACTTGGGGGGGATGTAGTGGGGACTTTTTCATCTTCCCAGTTCTAGTGGAGCTGAAGTCTGACTCTTGTGAACATTTTTGTTCTCTTTTGCCTCAATGACTCACTTTTTAAATTTTCTTTCTTCTACTGGTCAATCTGTAATGTTTTTCCTTCTTTTCCAAAGCTTTGTACTTCGGCTGCCGTGTTTCCTACAAGCCCCGATCAGAAAACACTTTAGGAGTTCACAGCAAAACTTCCAAAATTAATTAAACCTCTTGGCTACAGAAGCACTCGACTGAAATAAATTAAAAGTAATTGCACAAAGGTCTCTGAAACTGACAGCTCGCTTCACTTTAATCTTTTTCGCATCCCCTAAATGACTTTTTGTGATGCCAAGGTTTTAACGTCACCGATTTCAAAACATCGACACTGTTGAAGATTAATGGGAAACATATGAGGATTTTTTTTCACTGAAAAGGGGGTTGTATGGGGGTGCGGTGAGAAGGGGATTCTGTTGAATGAACGGATGATCACACTTGTGGAAAACACGTGAATTAAACCTGGGTCCCTTTCCTACACCATGCAAGTTGATGCGTGCTTTTCATTTAAAAAAAAAATCCCCTGCAGTCTGATTTGTGTGTGCAGAAACTGCAGAAAAATTCTGCAAGTGTCCGCTTGTGTCTAAACAAGTTCTTAAATGTATGTGGGGAGATGAGGGATGTGGCGGTGTGAGAGAACGATGAGTTCACTTTATTTTAAAGAAAGGACCTTGAGCAGTCTGGAGTTAGGGCGTTTTGAAGAAACAAGTGTCCTCTTTATTGTTGCTTTGCCTGGATTTGTAATTTGAAACCGTCAGGCAAGTAAAAACATCAAACGCCACAGCAAATACAAGTTCAGACAATCCGTGAGATCTCCCGCTTAAAAAAAGAGGAGCTTAACTCCTGGGCTAATAACTTCAGGCTGAGGTGTCCCTCTGTTTATTCCCGTATAACTGCGCCCTGGAGGAATTGCCCAAACTTGCTGCATCACAACCTTGCAGAAAAGGGGGAGAAAGTAGCTTGCTGGATCAGGTTTTGCCTTTGCAATTCTGTCGTTGAATGCAATGGATTCTGCTGGTGTCTTATAAATTTGCTGTTTGTTTAATGACGTGTCTTTTTAACCCACATTTGCCCACCCTGTGCCAAAGATGAAGAAGACTGTGGTGTATTCATTCAGTCATGTGGTTGAATATTTTTGATTCTCTTTGCCAAAGGATAGGGACGGACTCCTTGACACGATAAAGTAATCCAGTCTTCTGAATCTGCGTCCAGTTGTAACCTTGCAGTTGACAAATTTAAAAAAAATGTCTGTGAGGGAAGGCCAGGGGAGTGGGCGAAGTGGGTCGGGCTTTCAAAAGTGTCTGCATGGGCCCAATGAACCAAATGATCTCCTGCTCCTCCTTTTCCTCCTCCTCCTGTGCCGTAAAATCTGATGACACCCGGCCTTCGTGTCCAGGTAGGGAGAACGTCCGTCTTTCCAGGAACTGCTGCTGGGCAAACAGCCCCTGGCCATCAGGTGAAGACCGGTTCAGGTTTGGTACTGATGCCCTTCATGGTCAAATAGCTTGCGGATACTCATTGGTTTGGCTCCCAGATACAGAATGGGTGAGGCGCTTAAAAAAAGAAATTGCCAGCACCTTTGGAAATACATCTCTACAAGAGTCAGTGCTATTAGCACCAAAGTGGGGAGAAAGGTATTCAAACTATACTTGGATCCCCATTCTCGCCTAGTGGTGCTCCTCAGGTGCTTGGCTTCTACTTAAAGATGTACATCTTGGTATCTTGTTTTATTATGTTGTTTGTAATTTTGTAGGAAATTCCTTCATTTATGAGAACAGAAAATGCTAGATATACATGGATTCTTTGGCATTTGAAACCATAGCTGGAGGCTAGGGTCTTAATGTAAACAGCTGCTGTTTATTTTCTCCATTGCTTGTCGACCTGTACTTAAACATTTGTGATATTTTAGTTCCGACTGTCAGTGTGGTTTCTTTAATCTGACCAAATTTTTCCACCCCAAACCTTTTTCAATCATTTTTATTTACACAATGTTCAATTTATTGATTGAAGTATAAGCGACTCTGAAGTATAAAATTCATCTTTCTCATTTGCATCTGGAGATTTTGTTTTCTGTGTATCTTTGGTCAGACATATGATTTTACATTGGCTGAAGTGCAACAGAAAAATGAATTTTGTTATTAAATGGATATTTTCACCAACCAATTAATGTTCAAATATTTACTAATGTATTGCAATTTCAGTTCTCTATTTTCATTATAAACTTTTAGTAAAGATCACTTTGTTAATTTATAATGTGGACAAATTTTTATAGATGATTCCACTCATTAACGAATAAAGCTTTGACTATTAGAAAGGGTTTATGGTTTCGCAAAAGGAAGTTAGTATGCATGATGCTGAACAAGCCTTGCTGTTATATCATTATCATTGTAATTTATTTAAGAAAAAAACATGCCAACCTTTTGAATACAAGATTTCCTCAAACGCACAGAACGCTTTATTTCATCTAAAATAACAATATTTCAGAAACGCTGATGTTGTATGGCTCTTTCTTTCCCCAGGGATTGAGCATCATAGGGCATATACACATAAACGTGGTGAGCTGTTCGCAGCATATAAGCCCAACTAGTACTGCAAGTGCCCAGATATTTCATCCACCCTATTTCTATTTAGTAAATGTCAAGATATTTTGAAATTTAAGGGCAGATCTCCATATTAATTAAAATGAGTGGAATATAATGGGGTCTGCACCCATTTGTACACAGTCACTCTTTCAGACCGTCCTTTTATGCCATGCAGTAGGAGCATCTGCAAGTCTTCGGAAATAAAAGGTTGCTGTTTCAGTGCTGAGTAGGTGTGGCGGTGATCAAGCAACATATGGCCAGAGAATCCAAACATTAATGTGTGTCACTGGTTACATAATTCATCAGCTAGCAATCAGTATCTTGTCATTTTGAATGGGAACTTTGCAGCAAGTATGTATAAATGGTGACTCTTTTTGTGATATAAAGTTCCACGATGGGATGACAGAAAGTTTTCTTTTAACATAAACATTTACTCCAGGGCTGCATGTAAGTATATGATATAGAGGGTGGAAATGGAGTCTTGGTTTGTGGATACATTTACAACTCAACTGCGCAATTTTTTAAAAATTGCTTCTTGAATCCCATATAGTCTAAAGTGTTTAGCTTCTTACAGTCTGATGCCTGGTCAGAAAGCCTGTGCAGTGTGCCTATCACTGCTACTTCCTATTGGAGTATCTCTATGTTGGGGAAAAAAGCCCTGGAGCTTGCATCATGTATTTAATAGTTGACCTCAAGCTGCAATTTAAGTTGCAAACTTATTAGTAGCCTGGCTTTTCTGTATACATGATTGCCGGTAGTTTGTGATGTAAATTTGATTTTTAAGCAACAAAAGAAGGCATTTGGCATTCCTACCTTTATTGTTTGGGGTACTGAGTAGAAGAGTCATGTTGTTATGTTGCAGCCTTATAAGACTTTGGTTAGGCCACACTTAGAATATTGTGTTCAATTCTGGTCGCCACATTACAAGGAGATGGGGAGGCTTTGGAGAGTGTGCAGAAAAGGTTTTTAAGGACGCTGCCTGGATTAGATGATGTGATCTATAGGGAGAGGCTACAAAAACTCCGGTTGTTTTCTCTGGAGTGGTGGGGACTGATGGGAGACTTGATAGAAGTCTAAATTCATGAGATGTATAGATAGGGTTGACAGTCAGAGTCTTTTTCCCAGAGTTGAAATGTCGAGTACTAGGGCACATGTATTTAAGGTGAGAGGGGGGGAAAGTTCAAAGGAGATGTGTGGGGCAAGTTTTTTTATACAGGGAGTGGTAGGAGTGTGGAACGTGCTGTCAGGGGTGATGGTGGAGTCAGATATGATAGGGGCATTTAAGGGACGCTTAGATCAGCACATGAATATGCAAGGAATGGAGGGATATGGACCAGGGGCAGGCAGAAGGGATTTATTTAATTTGGTGTTATGTTCGGCACAACATCATGGGCCAAAGGACCTGTTCCTGTCCTGTACTTTTTTATGTTCTATAAGACCATCAATGGTTCGGTGAGTAACTGCACCATTTATCGCCCTACCAAACCATGGAGACTAGATAAATCCAGCACAGACCCAACTGTGTGCTGTTAGCTGACTTCTGCCAAGAATTCTGTAACCATCTGCTCTGAGACACAATAGTGAGTCAACAAACCATCCTGTGTCCTGATCCCAAGTGATCCTTGTTGGAAGGTGTGAGGGTATAAAGAGAGTAGAGTCCCATTTAGTGTTATCTACACATCCAAATAATGTTTCATCGCCTCCAATTTAGAATGGCTACTGGGGAAAATACACATGTAGAAGCACAAGAATCACAGCCTCTATCAGCCCAGCTCTCAATTGTACTGAAATTCTACAAAATACACTCACCATCTAGATTGGCAGAATGGTGAGGATTTGGGGTGAGTGCAGGGCGAAGGAGCAACATGTTTACAATTCTCAAATCTGCCTCCTTTTTTTCCAGCTCAGGTGCCAGACAGCGATGAGCAGTTTGTGCCAGATTATCATTGTGAAAGCTGTGAGTATCTTTCTTCTTGCTCCTTGGCTTTTGGTGGTTTGGAAACCCATCTCTTTGGGAAATGGGAATTCGGGTCCCACAGAGAACAAAACAAACCTCTGCATTTCCCTCATGAAAACTGCTGCCCTTATCACAACCACAGACCCGTGATATGGCCATGTATAGTGGAGGTGGGAGGAGAAAATCAAGAACTATTTGGCGATTGGAATTAAAGCAACAGGGGAGTATAATCAAGTCCAAAGAATTGAGGATGGTAGAAGCAACGTTACTAAATGAGTAACCCAGAGATCTGCACTAAGGATCCAGGGACATCACGTCAAATCTCACGATGGCATTTGGGGGCTTTGTGTTGTTATAAATCTGGACTAAAATTACTACTAATCTTGAAATAGTTGGGTTGCCATAAAAACTCTGGGGAAGAAATTTGCTGTCCTTACGTGATCTGGCCTGCCTGCGACTCTCAGATGCCCCTTGAAATAGCCTCATAACCCACATCGTCACAGACAACTTCCCACTATCTACTTAAATGTAGGAATGGACAATAAATGGAAGTCTTGCCGGCAAAGCTTGCATTACAAGAAATAATTGGGGAAAAATGCTATCCTCAGTCTAACTGTCCACCAAATTTGCTCCAAATAATAAAACCTACATTTTTGTGTCAAGAGCATTGCTTGAAGACAAGGCAGCGTGTGCCCACAATAGAGAAACAAAATGCATCAATAAATGAGTTTCTACACACCACTTGGAGTTGTTTCAAGCATTGAACAATTGAACCCTGCAGCCGTCTTGCAATGTAAATGCATCACAAATTACAAAACTGCAACCAGTCTACATCTGCTCAATCAGTTGTTTCCTCCCATCAGGAGGTATTTGTCATGTGATGCGCCCCTCCCTCATGACTGGCCCATGAAGTGAAAGCAGGCAGCCCTTCACATTTTATGAATGGGTTGGTTGTAATCTGTAACAGTTAAGAGCTGGCTGCAACAGGTTATTATATGCAGGAAGTGTTTCCATATATGGTGATTAGTTTGTTTTACTGGTGATAAATGGTTGACAGGCTTACCAGTGCCTGTCGCTACAAAGATGAGTTGTTACATAACTTGTTGTCGGTAAAAGCTGAAAAGCACAGCCAGATGGATTACAGTTACTGTCACAGCTAACTCTTTTTTGCAGCACAAGGTTTTCAGTATTGATAGCCGAGTTTTTTAGTAGGTTTTTTTAATCTCCAAAGTCTCAACTAGCGGAGACTTGAACAGTTTAATCTGTTAACACAATTCCATGTCAAATCAGGAAGAATGCATTTTGATACTCTTACAGCTGTTTGATTTTTATATAACTTATTTTTTTGTAAACAGAAATGCAAGTAAAATCACTATTTTCTTTTACACCTTCTCCCTATCCCCATAGAATCCCTATAGTGTGGAAACAGGCCCTTCAGCCCAAAAAGTCCACACTGACCCTCAGAGCACCCACCCAGGCCCATTCCCCTAATCTACACATCCCTGAACACTGTGGGCAATTTAGCATTTCCAATCCACCTAGCCTGCACATCTTTGGGCTGTGGGAGGAAACCCGAGCACCAAGAGGAAACCCGCGCAGACATGGGGAGAACGTACAAGCTCCACATAGACAGTTGCCCCAGGGTGGAATTGAACCCAGGTCCCTGGTGCTATGAGGCAGCAGTGCTAACCACTGAGCCACTGTACTGCTGAATTTGCTTCCAACTTTATCTTTTACTTGATGTGACAATGCTTTCTAGCTCCTGTAACATAAGAAATTCTGTGTGGATATCATGGTATTGAAAAATCCAACAAACATTTTATTGCAACTATTCTGTACCGATAGTTGTATTCCTCAGGCATGTAAATGTCTGGGCTAATAGTAACATGCTTCAAGTGATCTGATATAGATGGAGTATCTTTACATTCTTGGTTCATATGTTATGTTGTAATAATGATATTGTAGGCATGTAGTCTCTGAAAGATTTATTGACATTGAGACATAAAACAAGACCGTATACTTAGGGCACTGACCATCAATGATAATCTGGACTAGCCAAAACGTTCGCAAAAATTGTTCTGAGAATATAACCCTGTCTTGCTTCTCACAGTCCAGAAGAAAAATGTCCAGCCTTCCCAGAGTGTTTTACAGTGGCATGGTCGATAATGTTGGCAATTCAATGAAGCAGAATTTTGGTCTGTGCCTAACTCCATGGTTGGTGCTGTGTAAAACCACTTGCCTGCTTGATTTGTTTCTTTTTTAAAGGGGTTGTCTAGATTTTGAGGCCAGTAATATGATTATTACTGTAGACATGCTTGTGTGATAACCAGATTAACTTTTGACAGTAAAACCTCTTCTAATATCAAGCTAGATCCATTCTAATACCACCATTTCCCAATATTCAAACTCCACACAGCTTGCTGGAACTGAAAATACACAATGCCAAGATACACTTTATTGGACTTTACTGGTGGGCAGCCTTGGTGAATCCAGCAAGTTTATGTCCAGTTTGATTTGGCTGCCTGATCACTTCAAGCTTGGCTTCGCATTAGTATACAAAACACTAAACAATCTGAGAAGATAATGGGAACTGCAAATTACTTATCAACAAATTTTGGACACAATTGTATGCATGAGTGTTAACAGTAAATAGGTTATTCCGGTGCAGGGAGTATTGCAGTTGACCCTATTCCTACCCTAATCTTCTAACCTAGACTGTTAGCAGAGGGTTGTTGGACGGCTTTCCACACTAGTTTCTCCTTATTCTAACAGCTTTGCTGCAACCTGGAGTGGGATTGGGTTGGGCAGATTTGTGGGGTGGTGGAGAGAAAGAGACAAGTCAATTGTGTTCAGATTGAGAATTGAACCTGGGCCTTTCTACTCTTATGGCTCTGCTGTTATTAAAGAAACCTAGTAAGCCATCATTTGTCCTTGACTCAAATCTGTGAGGATATCAGATTTGAGGACCTTACTTAAACTCTTTTCACCTTGTGTCTGTGCCTTCATTTTAATTTTTTTAAAAAACTCTTGTCTCTTTCTAATTTTAGCATATCTACCAGAATTGTTTCTGCTCAGATTTGGTCATATAAGCATTACATATGGATAAAGATGCAATTTTGCAGAAAAAGAGGCGGTAACAAGTATTTTACCTGTGTTTTAGGCCAGTGCTACGACTTATACATTGGGATACTGATCTGGAATATCCTGCACTGTGGATAGTGTCTGCACAAACAGTCAAACTTTCACCCTAATGCTCCTTTAAAAAATGGCTGTTCAAATTCTTTTGCAATGAGCACTCCTTTGTTCTTATCCGTAAATAGTAGATTTTTAAATACAGACCTCTAAGAGCCCTGTCTTCACAAGCTCATTCTGGGCTGGTGACATCTCCCTCTGATGTCTAAGACATGTGATGAACTACATAAGGATTTAATGAATTTTATTTTACCACGACCAGTACAAAGGACAAGAAACAGTCCAAATTCAGCTTTCTTCCAAGTTATAAGCAAGCTGATATTAATGGCAGGAAGTAGAGGTGATTTTAGAATGGATCTTATTATGTTGTAACAGAGTAGATGAGATTTAAAAATTGTTTAAGTATAGGTTCCGTGCTTTGCATTTAAAATGGAACTGAAGTTCACCCTTGCTGCCCTGGGTTTAATTTTGGTTTTTATGCAAAACCCAATCTGTCTAAAGTGGAGCTAAGTTTGTAGACTCTGCTTTTTTTTTCTCTCTCTGTTCTCAAGTTGTAATCAATGAAGAAAGATGCTGTTGTGATTTGTGTTCAAAAAACATTTTTTGTGCAGTTGTCCACTGTGCCAATTTCAGTGTTCTTTCATTCAGTCCATAATGAATGAAGTGACACAGCTGATATTTGGTAAGCCAAATTTAAACCAAACTGGCCACATCCTGTTCATGTAAAATGTTTCCAATATCACGTATATATTGATTTTGATTTATTGTCACATGTACCAAAGTATAGTGAAAAGCTTTGTTTACAAGCAGTACAAACAGATCATAGTAAGCAAGGGTGTACAAGACAAAAAGACTTAGACAGAGGCACACAAGTTGCATTGCACAGGGTATACCCTAGCTGAGATCAACGTTCACAAGATCAGTTTTATTTGAGGCTACAGAGTCCAATCATCAGTCTAATAACGGCCAGGAAGAAGCTGTTCTTGAACCTGCTCATGCATGTCTTCAGGCTTCTGTATCTTCTGCCTAATGGAAGAGGTTGTAGGAGGTCGTTACTGGGGTATGATGGGTCATTGATGATGTTGGCAGCCTTTCCGCAGTAGCGAGCCATGTAAATGGAGTCCACGGATGGAAGGTTGGCCTCCATGATGGTCTGGGCTGTGTAACCACCTTCTGTAGTTTCTTACAGTCCTGGGCAGACCAGTTGCCATTTCAGGCTGTTATGCACCCAGACAGTATGCTTTCAGTGCTGTGTCTGTAGAAGTTGGTGAGGGTCTTTATGGACATGCCAGTTTTCCTGAGCTCCCTGAGGAAGAAGAGGTGTTGTTGTGCTTTCTTGACTCGCATCTACATAAAACGCCCAGGACAGGTTGTTGGTTACTGTCACTCCGAGGAACTTGACTCTCTCCACCCTCAAACTCAGTTCCATTGATGTAGATGGGGGCGTATTCTCCTCCTTTCTTTCTGATGTCAACAATCAGTTCTTAAGTTTTGTTGACATTGAGAGAGAGATTATTTTCATTGTACCATGTCTTCAAGCCCTCTATCTCCCTTCTGTATTTTGACTCGTCGTTGTTATATATCCGTCCCACTACAGTAGTGTCATCAGTGAACTTGTAGATGACATCAGAGACAGTAGGAACTGCAGATGCTGGAGAATCTGAGATAACAAGGTGTAGAGCTGGATGAACACAACAGGCCAAGCAGCATCAGAGGAGCAGGAAGGCTGATGTTTCGGGCCTAGACCCTTCTTCAGAAGTTTTTCTGAGGTAAGGTCTAGACCTGAAACGTCAGCCTTCCTGCTCCTC